TGAACATCCGTTAACCTCCGTTTCACCTTGCTAGCAAACGCCCCTTCGAACAGTACAACATATATATGTGTGTGTAGATATGTATACATATATAATTTATACAGATGCATAATACATGTACTGTGCGTACATGCACACATATGTAAGTATGAATATGTGTGTGAATATATGCAAATATAATACTATTATATGTGTGTGTGTATTGTATGCATTGCACACATATCTTTTTGTTGTGTGCCGTAGAAGAATAAGATTAAATATTATGTTTTTGGTGTGTATCTAAGCAAGTAATGAAGAGATGTTAGCTGTTCGCCTTTTAAATGTTTGTTTCGAGGACAAGCCACGCAGCTGTTTATGAATGTCCTCCAATATCGGACTGGTTGTGAGCAAGAGACGAACACTTCGAGGGCGTATGGACGATGCCTCAGAGAGAGGACGAATTGTGGCTAAGAAAGTGGTATTGGTTTTGGAAAGCATTCCAAATGTGTCATACTTGGACTGTGCGTGTGACTCACCGCGGCAACAGACACAATTTGCTCCATTACAGGATGAACCTGATATAACGTCATTACACTGCCTGGAATCCACACACTTTCCCGGGCATGTGGCTGTGGCAGGGCAGGTTGCAGGAGGAGGAGCGCAACATTTGCAACCGGCGCCTGAACACCCGTTGTTAATTTCCGTTTCGCCTTGTGCGCAAGTCTGCTTGCAAACGCCCCTTTGATCAGTGCAAGTGGCCTGTGGAGTGCATTCTGGAGATACAGAAAATAACTCTTTACACACATACATGTATACAGAAAGAATGGTTATATGAATATATAAATACATATATATAACAAGCGATAATGATATTTTATGGATGTATTTGTATAATTATATATATATTCATACACATATATGTATATTTTCTATATCTGAATTTATCTATCTACATATATACCATACATAGATGCATAATTTTTTCCTTTCATTGCCGTAGGTTATATATATACACACACACGCATATACATATATATATATATATATATATATATATATATACATATATAACGTGGTAATGATGAAAAAAAATGCATATTTATGTATATTTATTTATTGATAGATAAATATTTATTTATGTTTAAATATTAGATTAAATAAGTATTTAATTAATATTTATTGATAGATAAATCTAGATATTTATATATGAATATATATAAATATATAATATATATACATACATACATGTATATTCATATACTTTCATACATATATTGTATTTATATATATGCATATATGATATATATACACATGATATATGTATATATTTGAATGGTGAAAACATTCTACCGTGCTGATACAATGGAAGAAAAACCCACAATGTAAAACTAGATTTATTGAAAGTGAGACAACAGTTGTCTCACTTTCAAAAAATCTAATTTTACATTGTGGGTTTTCTTCCATGTATATAAATGTATACATACACATATATGTATATACGTATATATATATTTATGCATTTATATACATAAATACATAAGTATACATAGATAGTGATATAGAGATAGATGCATTTGTCGATAGATATTTTGCTGTATTTTTAAGGCTGCTGTTTGTAGTATACGTGTCGTGCTGCTGCCCGTCTGTAAGTGATTAGAAACATTTCATTTCATTGGTTGATGAGGTGTCCGTACGCTACAAGGTACAGTGTGACGCCGGATAACCATTAGCCACGCAGCTGTGGCATATGCATCTTGGGATATCGGAATCTTTGGACACACCTCTGCCAATTCCTGTGGACGACCATTTCAAGCAGATTTCAACGTAGCTTCGGAAAAGGATTTATGAGTGATACTAGCGTGTCAGAGTGTCATGGCTATATCACATAAACGGCTGTGACTCACCCAGGCAACAGACACACTTTGCTGCATTACAGGTTGAACCTTGTATAACGTCATCACACTCCCTGGCATGTGGATGTGGCAGGGCAGGTTGCAAGAAAAGGATATCAACATTTGCAACAGAAGCCTGAACATCCGTTAACCTCCGTTTCACCTTGCTAGCAAACGCCCCTTCGAACAGTACAACATATATATGTGTAGATATGTATACATATATAATTCATACATATACATAACACATGTACTGTGCGTACATACACACGTATGTAAGTATGAATATGTGTGAATATATGCAAATATAATACGATTATATGTGTGTGTATTGTATGCATTGTTGTGTGCCGTAGAAGAATAAGATTAAATATTATGTTTTTGGTGTGTATCTAAGCAAGTAATGAAGAGATGTTAGCTGTTCGCCTTTTAAATGTTTGTTTCGAAGGCAAGCCGCGCAGCTGTTGTTTATGAATGTCCTCCAAAATGGGATTGGTTGTGCGCAAGAGACGAGCACTTCGAGGGCGTTTGGACGATGCCTCAGAGAGAGGACGAATTGTGGCTAAGAAAGTGGTATTGGTTTTGGAAAGCATTACAAATGTGTCATACTTGGACTGTGCGTGTCACTCACCGCGGCAACAGACACAATTTGCTCCATTACAGGATGAACCTGGTATAACGTCATTACACTGCCTGGAATCCACACACTTTCCCGGGCATGTGGCTGTGGCAGGGCAGGTTGCAGGAGGAGGAGCGCAACATTTGCAACCGGCGCCTGAACACCCGTTGTTAATTTCCGTTTCGCCTTGTGCGCAAGTCTGCTTGCAAACGCCCCTTTGATCAGTGCAAGTGGCCTGTGGAGTGCAATCTGGAGATACAGAAAATAACTCTTTACACACATACATGTATACAGAAAGAATGGTTATATGAATATATAAATACATATATATAACAAGCGATAATGTTATTTTTATGGATGTATTTGTATAATTATATATATATACATACACATATATGTATATTTTCTATATCTATATCTATCTACATATATATCATACATACATGCATATTTTTTTTCATTACCGTATGTTATATTAATACACACGCATATACATATATATACATACATATATATATATATATATATATATATGTATATATATATACATATATATGTATAACGCGGTAATGATGAAATATTTTATGCATGAATATGTATAATAAACATATCTATTGATAGATAAATCTAGATATTTATATATGAATATATATAAATATATAATATATATACATACATACATATATATTTATATACTTTCCTACATATATTGCATTTATATATATGCATATATGGTATATATACACACATGATATATGTATATATTTGAATGGTGAAAACATTCTACCGTGTTGATACAATGGAAGAAAAAAAAAAACACAATGTAAAACTAGATTTATTGAAAGTGAGACAACAGTTGTTTCACTTTCAATAAATCTAGTTTTACATTGTGGGTTTTTCTTCCATGTATAAATATGTATACATACACATATATGTATATACGTATATATGTATTTATGCATTTATATATATAAATACATGAGTATATATAAATAGAGATATAGCGATAGATGCATTTGTCGATAGATATTTTGCTGTATTTTTAAGGCTTCTGTTTGTATTATATGTGTCCTGCTGCTGCCCGTCTGTAAGTGATTAGAAACATTTCATTTCATTGGTTGATGAGCTGGCCGTACGCTACAAGGTACAGGGTGACGGCGGGTAACCATTAGCCACGCAGCTGTGGCATATGCATCTTGGGATATCGGAATCTTTGGACACACCTCTGCCAATTCCTGTGAACGACCAATTCAAGCAGATTTCAACGCAGCTTCGGAAAAGGATTTATGAGTGATACTAGCGTTTCAGAGTGTGATGGCTATGTCACATATACGGCTGTGACTCACTCAGGCAACAGCCACACTTTGGTGCATTACAGGTTGAACCTTGTATAACGTTATCACACTGTCCCTGTCATGTGGATGTGGCAGGGCAGGTTGCAAGAAAAGGATATCAACATTTGCAACAGAAGCCTGAACATCCGTTAACCTCCGTTTCACCTTGCTAGCAAACACCCCCTTCGAACAGTACAACATATATATGTGTGTGTAGATATGTATACATATATAATTTATACAGATACATAATACATGTACTGTGCGTACATGCACACATATGTAAGTATGAATATGTGTGTGAATATATGCAAATATAATACTATTATATGTGTGTGTGTATTGTATGCATTGCACACATATCTTTTTGTTGTGTGCCGTAGAAGAATAAGATTAAATATTATGTTTTCGGTGTGTATCTAAGCAAGTAATGAAGAGATGTTAGCTGTTCGCCTTTTAAATGTTTGTTTCGAGGACAAGCCACGCAGCTGTTTATGAATGTCCTCCAATATCGGACTGGTTGTGAGCAAGAGACGAACACTTCGAGGGCGTATGGACGATGCCTCAGAGAGAGGACGAATTGTGGCTAAGAAAGTGGTATTGGTTTTGGAAAGCATTCCAAATGTGTCATACTTGGACTGTGCGTGTGCACTCACCGCGGCAACAGACACAATTTGCTCCATTACAGGATGAACCTGATATAACGTCATTACACTGCCTGGAATCCACACACTTTCCCGGGCATGTGGCTGTGGCAGGGCAGGTTGCAGGAGGAGGAGTGCAACATTTGCAACCGGCGCCTGAACACCCGTTGTTAATTTCCGTTTCGCCTTGTGCGCAAGTCTGCTTGCAAACGCCCCTTTGATCAGTGCAAGTGGCCTGTGGAGTGCATTCTGGAGATACAGAAAATAACTCTTTATACACATACATGTATACAGAAAGAATGGATATATGAATATATAAATACTTATATATAACATGCGATAATGATATCTTATGGATGTATTTGTATAATTATATATATATTCATACACATATATGTATATTTTCTATATCTAAATTTATCTATCTACATATATATCATACATAGATGCATAATTTTTCCCTTTCATTGCCGTATGTTATATATATACACACACACGCATATACATATATATACATATATATATAACGTGGTAATGATGAAAAAAAAATGCATATTTATGTATATTTATTTATTGATAGATAAATATTTATTTATGTTTAAATATTAGATTAGATAAGTATTTAATTAATATTTATTGAGAGATAAATCTAGATATTTATATATGAATATATATAAATATATAATATATATACATACATACATGTATATTCATATACTTTCATACATATATTGTATTTATATATATGCATATATGATATATATACACATGATATATGTATATATTTGAATGGTGAAAACATTCTACCGTGCTGATACAATGGAAGAAAAACCCACAATGTAAAACTAGATTTATTGAAAGTGAGACAACAGTTGTCTCACTTTCAAAAAATTTAATTTTACATTGTGGGTTTTCTTCCATGTATATATATGTATACATACACACATATATATATACGTATATATATATTTATGCATTTATATACATAAATACATAAGTATACATAGATAGTGATATAGAGATAGATGCATTTGTCGATAGATATTTTGCTGTATTTTTAAGGCTGCTGTTTGTAGTATACGTGTCGTGCTGCTGCCCGTCTGTAAGTGATTAGAAACATTTCATTTCATTGGTTGATGAGGTGTCCGTACGCTACAAGGTACAGTGTGACGCCGGGTAACCATTAGCCACGCAGCTGTGGCATATGCATCTTGGGATATCGGAATCTTTGGACACACCTCTGCCAATTCCTGTGACGACCATTTCAAGTAGATTTCAACGTAGCTTCGGAAAAGGATTTATGAGTGATACTAGCGTGTCAGAGTGTCATGGCTATATCACATAAACGGCTGTGACTCACCCAGGCAACAGACACACTTTGCTGCATTACAGGTTGAACCTTGTATAACGTCATCACACTCCCTGGCATGTGGATGTGGCAGGGCAGGTTGCAAGAAAAGGATATCAACATTTGCAACAGAAGCCTGAACATCCGTTAACCTCCGTTTCACCTTGCTAGCAAACACCCCCTTCGAACAGTACAACATATATATGTGTGTGTAGATATGTATACATATATAATTTATACAGATACATAATACATGTACTGTGCGTACATGCACACATATGTAAGTATGAATATGTGTGTGAATATATGCAAATATAATACTATTATATGTGTGTGTGTATTGTATGCATTGCACACATATCTTTTTGTTGTGTGCCGTAGAAGAATAAGATTAAATATTATGTTTTCGGTGTGTATCTAAGCAAGTAATGAAGAGATGTTAGCTGTTCGCCTTTTAAATGTTTGTTTCGAGGACAAGCCACGCAGCTGTTTATGAATGTCCTCCAATATCGGACTGGTTGTGAGCAAGAGACGAACACTTCGAGGGCGTATGGACGATGCCTCAGAGAGAGGACGAATTGTGGCTAAGAAAGTGGTATTGGTTTTGGAAAGCATTCCAAATGTGTCATACTTGGACTGTGCGTGTGACTCACCGCGGCAACAGACACAATTTGCTCCATTACAGGATGAACCTGATATAACGTCATTACACTGCCTGGAATCCACACACTTTCCCGGGCATGTGGCTGTGGCAGGGCAGGTTGCAGGAGGAGGAGTGCAACATTTGCAACCGGCGCCTGAACACCCGTTGTTAATTTCCGTTTCGCCTTGTGCGCAAGTCTGCTTGCAAACGCCCCTTTGATCAGTGCAAGTGGCCTGTGGAGTGCATTCTGGAGATACAGAAAATAACTCTTTATACACATACATGTATACAGAAGGAATGGATATATGAATATATAAATACATATATATATAACATGCGATAATGATATCTTATGGATGTATTTGTATAATTATATATATATTCATACACATATATGTATATTTTCTATATCTAAATTTATCTATCTACATATATATCATACATAGATGCATAATTTTTCCCTTTCATTGCCGTAGGTTATATATATACACACACACGCATATACATATATATATACATATATATATAACGTGGTAATGATGAAAAAAAAATGCATATTTATGTATATTTATTTATTGATAGATAAATATTTATTTATGTTTAAATATTAGATTAGATAAGTATTTAATTAATATTTATTGAGAGATAAATCTAGATATTTATATATGAATATATATAAATATATAATATATATACATACATACATGTATATTCATATACTTTCATACATATATTGTATTTATATATATGCATATATGATATATATACACATGATATATGTATATATTTGAATGGTGAAAACATTCTACCGTGCTGATACAATGGAAGAAAAACCCACAATGTAAAACTAGATTTATTGAAAGTGAGACAACAGTTGTCTCACTTTCAAAAAATTTAATTTTACATTGTGGGTTTTCTTCCATGTATATATATGTATACATACACACATATATATATACGTATATATATATTTATGCATTTATATACATAAATACATAAGTATACATAGATAGTGATATAGAGATAGATGCATTTGTCGATAGATATTTTGCTGTATTTTTAAGGCTGCTGTTTGTAGTATACGTGTCGTGCTGCTGCCCGTCTGTAAGTGATTAGAAACATTTCATTTCATTGGTTGATGAGGTGTCCGTACGCTACAAGGTACAGTGTGACGCCGGGTAACCATTAGCCACGCAGCTGTGGCATATGCATCTTGGGATATCGGAATCTTTGGACACACCTCTGCCAATTCCTGTGGACGACCATTTCAAGTAGATTTCAACGTAGCTTCGGAAAAGGATTTATGAGTGATACTAGCGTGTCAGAGTGTCATGGCTATATCACATAAACGGCTGTGACTCACCCAGGCAACAGACACACTTTGCTGCATTACAGGTTGAACCTTGTATAACGTCATCACACTCCCTGGCATGTGGATGTGGCAGGGCAGGTTGCAAGAAAAGGATATCAACATTTGCAACAGAAGCCTGAACATCCGTTAACCTCCGTTTCACCTTGCTAGCAAACGCCCCTTCGAACAGTACAACATATATATGTGTGTAGATATGTATACATATATAATTCATACATATACATAACACATGTACTGTGCGTACATACACATATGTAAGTATGAATATGTGTGAATATATGCAAATATAATACGATTATATGTGAGTGTATTGTATGCATTGTTGTGTGCCGTAGAAGAATAAGATTAAATATTATGTTTTTGGTGTGTATCTAAGCAAGTAATGAAGAGATGTTAGCTGTTCGCCTTTTAAATGTTTGTTTCGAAGGCAAGCCGCGCAGCTGTTGTTTATGAATGTCCTCCAAAATGGGACTGGTTGTGCGCAAGAAACGAGCACTTCGAGGGCGTTTGGACGATGCCTCAGAGAGAGGACGAATTGTGGCTAAGAAAGTGGTATTGGTTTTGGAAAGCATTCCAAATGTGTCATACTTGGACTGTGCGTGTGACTCACCGCGGCAACAGACACAATTTGCTCCATTACAGGATGAACCTGATATAACGTCATTACACTGCCTGGAATCCACACACTTTCCCGGGCATGTGGCTGTGGCAGGGCAGGTTGCAGGAGGAGGAGCGCAACATTTGCAACCGGCGCCTGAACACCCGTTGTTAATTTCCGTTTCGCCTTGTGCGCAAGTCTGCTTGCAAACGCCCCTTTGATCAGTGCAAGTGGCCTGTGGAGTGCATTCTGGAGATACAGAAAATAACTCTTTACACACATACATGTCTGCAGAAGGAATGAATATATGAATATATAAATACATATATACATATATATATAACATGCGATAATGATAGTTTATGGATGTATTGGTATAATTATATATATATTCATACACATATATGTATATTTTCTATATCTATATTTATCTATCTACATATATATCATACATAGATGCATAATTTTTTCTTTTCATTGCCGTATGTTATATTTATACACACACATGCATATGTATATACATGTATATATATATAACGCGGTAATGATGAAAAAAATATGCATATATATATGTATAATATACATATTTATTGATAGATAAATCTAGATATTTATATATGAATATATATAAATATATAATATATATACATACATACATGTATATTTATATACTTTCCTACATATATTGTATTTATATATATGGATATATGATATATATACATTTGATATATGTATATATTTGAATGGTGAAAACATTCTACCGTGCTGATACAATGGAAGAAAAACAAAACAAAACACAATGTAAAACTAGATTTATTGAAAGTGATAGAACAGTTGTCTCACTTTCAATAAATCTAGTTTTACATTGTGGGTTTTCTTCTGTTTGTAGTATATGTGTCCTGCTGCTGCCCGTCTGTAAGTGATTAGAAACATTTCATTTCATTGGTTGATGAGGTGCCCGTACGCTACAAGGTACAGTGTGACGGCGGGTAACCATTAGCCACGCAGCTGTGGCATATGCATCTTGGGATATCGGAATCTTTGGACACACCTCTGCCAATTCCTGTGGACGACCATTTCAAGCAGATTTGAACGCAGCTTCGGAAAAGGATTTATGAGTGATACTAGCGTTTCAGAGTGTCATGGCTATATCACATAAACGGCTGTGACTCTCCCAGGCAACAGACACACTTTGCTGCATTACAGGTTGAACCTTGTATAACGTCATCACACTCCCTGGCATGTGGATGTGGCAGGGCAGGTTGCAAGAAAAGGATATCAACATTTGCAACAGAAGCCTGAACATCCGTTAACCTCCGTTTCACCTTGCTAGCAAACGCCCCTTCGAACAGTACAACATATATATGTGTGTAGATATGTATACATATATAATTCATACATATACATAACACATGTACTGTGCGTACATACACATATGTAAGTATGAATATGTGTGAATATATGCAAATATAATACGATTATATGTGAGTGTATTGTATGCATTGTTGTGTGCCGTAGAAGAATAAGATTAAATATTATGTTTTTGGTGTGTATCTAAGCAAGTAATGAAGAGATGTTAGCTGTTCGCCTTTTAAATGTTTGTTTCGAAGGCAAGCCGCGCAGCTGTTGTTTATGAATGTCCTCCAAAATGGGACTGGTTGTGCGCAAGAAACGAGCACTTCGAGGGCGTTTGGACGATGCCTCAGAGAGAGGAGGAATTGTGGCTAAGAAAGTGGTATTGGTTTTGGAAAGCATTCCAAATGTGTCATACTTGGACTGTGCGTGTGACTCACCGCGGCAACAGACACAAATTGCTCCATTATAGATTGAACCTTGTATAACGTCATCACACTCCCTGGCATGTGGATGTGGCAGGCATGATGTATATACGTATATATATATTTATGCATTAGATACATAAATACATAAGTATATATAGATAGAGATATAGAGATAGATGCATTTGTCGATAGATATTTTGCTGTATTTTTAAGGCTTCTGTTTGTAGTATATGTGTCCTGCTGCTGCCCGTCTGTAAGTGATTAGAAACATTTCATTTCATTGGTTGATGAGGTGCCCGTACGCTACAAGGTACAGTGTGACGGCGGGTAACCATTAGCCACGCAGCTGTGGCATATGCATCTTGGGATATCGGAATCTTTGGACACACCTCTGCCAATTCCTGTGGACGACCATTTCAAGCAGATTTGAACGCAGCTTCGGAAAAGGATTTATGAGTGATACTAGCGTTTCAGAGTGTGATGGCTATGTCACATAAACGGCTGTGACTCTCCCAGGCAACAGACACAAATTGCTCCATTATAGATTGAACCTTGTATAACGTTATCGCATTGCCCCTGGCATGTGGATGTGGCAGGCATGTTGCAGGTGGAGGATATCAATGTTTGTAACTGCAGTCTAAACATCCGTTATTAACTACCTTCGTGCAGTGCAACATATATATATGTATATATGAGTCTATATATGTATGCTTATCATACATATGTATACAGATACATATCACATATGTACTGTACGTGCATACATACATATATATGCACACATATATGTATGTATATGTAAGGTTTGTGAGTGATTATATGCAAAAATGATTATATATGTCTATTGTATGAATTACACACATGTCTTTCTGTTGTGTGCTGTAGACGAATAACAGATGAAATATGTTTTTGATCTGTGTCTAAACAAGTAATGAAGAGGTTAGCTGTTCGCCTTTTAAAAGTTTGTTTCAAAGTCAAGCAACGCAGCTGTTGTTTATGAATATCCTCTAATATTTTTTTTTATCATGCACTCGCCTCTGCGAATGGAAGTAGACGAACACTTCTAGGGCGTTTCGACGATGCCTCAGAGAGAGGAGGAATTGTGGCTAAGAAAGTGGTATTGGTTTTGGAAAGCATTCCAAATGTGTCATACTTGGACTGTGCGTGTGACTCACCGCGGCAACAGACACAATTTGCTCCATTACAGGATGAACCTGATATAACGTCATTACACTGCCTGGAATCCACACACTTTCCCGGGCATGTGGCTGTGGCAGGGCAGGTTGCAGGAGGAGGAGTGCAACATTTGCAACCGGCGCCTGAACACCCGTTGTTAATTTCCGTTTCGCCTTGTGCGCAAGTCTGCTTGCAAACGCCCCTTTGATCAGTGCAAGTGGCCTGTGGAGTGCATTCTGGAGATACAGAAAATAACTCTTTACACACATACATGTTTGCAGAAGGAATGAATATATAAATATATATATATACATATATATATAACATCCTGTAATGATATTTTATGGATGTATTTGTACAATTATATATATATACATACACATATATGTATATTTTCTATATCTATATTTATCTATCTACATATATATCATGTATAGATGAATATTTTTTTCTTTTCATTGCCGTATGTTATATTCATACATACACGCATATACATATATATATATATATATATATATATATATATATATATATATATATATATATACATATATAACGCGGTAATGATGAAATATTTTATGCATTTATACATATAATATACATATTTATTGATAGATAAATCTAGATATTTATATATGAATATATATATATATATATATATATATATATATATATATATATAATATATGTATACATACATATATATTTATATACTTTCCTACATATATTGTATTTATATATATGTATATATGCAGGGCCGGATTATGACCTTTTGGGGCCCCTAGGCTAATGAAATTATGGGGCCCCCTCAGAATATTTTTTACTCGTGATATATTTTAGCGACATTTACATAGCTTGAAGTAAACTTATTGCAAATTCTTTAAATAAACTAGCATAGCTATCTTTTGTTTGTCAATAAAAATATTCTTTAAATACCACTATTTTACTATATTTCAACACAACCGTAGTGAAAAAAAACTGATTTTTTATAACCAAGCCCCTCAAGCTTGGTGCTGCAGCCTTTACTAGCCTATATGATAATCCGGCACTGCATAAATGATATATATACACACATGATATATGTATATATTTGAATGGTGAAAACACTCTACTGTGTTGATACAATGGAAGAAAAACCCACAAATGTAAAACTAGATTTATTAAAAGTGAGAGAACAGTTTTCTCCCTTTCAATAAATCATTGTGTTTTTTTCTTTCATGTATATATATGTATACATACACACACATATATATATACGTATATATATATGCATGCGTTTATATATATAAATACATAAGTATATATAGATAGAGATATAGAGATAGATGCATTTGTCGATAGATATTTTGCTGTATTTTTAAGGCTGCTGTTTGTAGTATACGTGTCGTGCTGCTGCCCGTCTGTAAGTGATTAGAAACATTTCATTTCATTGGTTGATGAGGTGCCCGTACGCTACAAGGTACAGTGTGACGGCGGGTAACCATTAGCCACGCAGCTGTGGCATATGCATCTTGGGATATCGGAATCTTTGGACACACCTCTGCCAATTCCTGTGGACGACCATTTCAAGCAGATTTGAACGCAGCTTCGGAAAAGGATTTATGAGTGATACTAGCGTTTCAGAGTGTCATGGCTACGTCACATAAACGGCTGTGTCTCACCCAGGCAACAGACACAAATTGCTCCATTATAGATTGAACCTTGTATAACGTTATCGCATTGCCCCTGGCATGTGGATGTGGCAGGCATGTTGCAGGTGGAGGATATCAATGTTTGTAACCGCAGTCTGAACATCTGTTATTAACTTCCTTCGTGCAGTGCAACATATATATATATGTATATATGAGTCTAGATATGTATGCATACCATATATATGTATACAGATACATATCACATATGTACTGTACGTGCATACATACATATATATGCACACATATATGTATGCATATGTAAGGTTTGTGTGTGATTATGTGCAAAAATGATTATATATGTCTATTGTATGAATTACACACATGTCTTTCTGTTGTGTGCTGTAGACAAATAACAGATGAAATATCATGTTTTTGGTCTGTGTCTAAGCAAGTAATGAAGAGAGGTTAGCTGTTCGCCTTTTAAATGTTTGTTTCAAAGTCAAGCAACGCAGCTGTTGTTTATGAATGATCTCTAATATTTTGTTTTATCATGCACTCGCCTCTGCGAATTGAAGTAGACGAGCACTTCGAGGGCGTTTGGACGATGCCTCAGAGAGAGGAGGAATTGTGGCTAAGAAAGTGGTATTGGTTTTGGAAAGCATTACAAATGTGTCATACTTGGACTGTGCGTGTGACTCACCGCGGCAACAGACACAATTTGCTCCATTACAGGATGAACCTGATATAACGTCATTACACTGCCTGGAATCCACACACTTTCCCGGGCATGTGGCTGTGGCAGGGCAGGTTGCAGGAGGAGGAGCGCAACATTTGCAACCGGCGCCTGAACACCCGTTGTTAATTTCCGTTTCGCCTTGTGCGCAAGTCTGCTTGCAAACGCCCCTTTGATCAGTGCAAGTGGCCTGTGGAGTGCATTCTGGAGATACAGAAAATAACTCTTTACACACATACATGTTTGCAGAAAGAATGGATATATGAATATATAAATACATATATATAGCATGCGATAATGATATTTTTATGGGAGTATTTGTATATATATATACATACACATATATGTATATTTTCTATATCTATATCTATCTATCTACATATATATCATACATAGATGCATATTTTTTTCTTTATTAATACACACACACGCACATACATATATATACATACATACATATATATATATATATATATATATATATATATATATATACATATATATGTATAATGCGGTAATGATGAAATATTTTATGCATGAATATGTATAATAAACATATTTATTGATAGATAAATCTAGATATTTATATATGAATATATATAAATATATATATATACATACATACATATATATTTATATACTTTCCTACATATATTGCATTTATATATATGCATATATGGTATATATACACACATGATATATGTATATATTTGAATGGTGAAAACATTCTACCGTGTTGATACAATGGAAGAAAAAAACACAATGTAAAACTAGATTTATTGAAAGCGAGACAACAGTTGTTTCACTTTCAATAAATCTAGTTTTACATTGTGTTTTTTTCTTCCATGTATATATATGTATACATACACATATATGTATATACGTATATATGTATTTATGCATTTATATATATAAATACATAAGTATATATAGATAGAGATATAGAGATAGATGCATTTGTCGATAGATATTTTGCTGTATTTTTAAGGCTTCTGTTTGTAGTATATGTGTCCTGCTGCTGCCCGTCTGTAAGTGATTAGAAACATTTCATTTCATTGGTTGATGAGCTGGCCGTACGCTACAAGGTACAGGGTGACGGCGGGTAACCATTAGCCACGCAGCTGTGGCATATGCATCTTGGGATATCGGAATCTTTGGACACACCTCTGCCAATTCCTGTGAACGACCATTTCAAGCAGATTTCAACACAGCTTCGGAAAAGGATTTATGAGTAATACTAGCGTCTCAGAGTGCCATGTTATATATATGGCTGTGTGTGACTCACCCAGGCAACAGACACAATTTGCTCCATTACAGGAACCTGTTATAAGGTTATCACACTCCCTGAAGTCCACACACTGTCCCTGGCAAGTGGCTGTGGCAGGGCAGGTTGCACGAGGAGGAGCACAACATTTGCAACCGAAGCCTGAACATCCGTTGTTAACTTCCGTTTCACCTTGTACACAAGTCTGCTTGCAAACGCCATTTTGAGCAATGCAATTGGCTCGTCGAGTGCAATCTGAAGAAACAGAAAATAAGTCACGCACAAGCTAGTGACTTTAGGGGTAATGGTAAATTAAATAAAGCATAAAAAGTAATCAGTCCAATAGAACGCTAGGATATCTTTTAACGAAAATCCTTCAAATTGAGAATTCAGAATGAAAAATGACCCGAGGCAATTACCTCGTCAGAACAGGGATGAAAAAGAAGTTTCAAGATCTTTTTCAAAAATTCTTGGAATATCTTGCTGTTATTAATGCGCGTTTGCGTTGTGGAAATACACTAGCAAAAACATACACACTCAAATCACAGAGGTAGCATTCTTGATAGCAACTGTGGTTGGTAAATTCTTGGTTGGCAAGACTAAAGACGAGGGAAATAAAAGATTAGTTTCCATTTGCTTAAACGTAACTCTTGCATCTTACCACATGTTATATGTATATATATATATATATATATATATATATATATATATATATATATATATGTATATATATATATAAACACATATATATGTACATATTGTAAGAGGCTGTTGGTACCTCCGAACAATGAGCTACGGTGCGATGTCTTGGGAGCAAGCGCTAAATGCGGTGGCAGATGCTTCATTTAGACTTTGGTCTACAGACATGATCTGGAGCTATTAGCTTACATAAATCATGCTTATGTGCATGCCATATTACTCGGCCACCTACTCACGCCATTTGATTAACTTCAAGGGGTGTTTGGACCTGATTGGTCATCTCGTTCTCTCGTGCGTTGTCCTCGGCCCATCTTCGTGGTTGCTCGTTCTTGTCGTCTTCTTCCTCTTTTTCTCAGTCCTTGTAATAATCAACTTGTCCTCGACGTCCACACGTCCTCGAAGGTCTTGCGCAGGTCCTTCTCGACTTCGGATTCGTCTAAACATCCTCGTAGTCCTCGTCCAGGTCCAACTCAGTGGCGTACTCGTTCACACATTCTCGCAGTTCTCGTCGAGGTTCTTCTCGGCTGCGTCCAGACGTCCTCGCAACCTTCGTCTGGATCTACGGGCGTCCTGGCACGCGGCGTCCTCATCGGCATCTCAGGGCGGCTGATACCTGCGCTGACGAGTTTCAGGAGTCTGACTCTATCTGCGGGCGTCCAAGCGGCGCCCTTCCACTACATTCTCAGGCAGCTACATCTGCAGGTCTACGGCGATTTCCGTTGACGTACTTCCTACAGCGTCCTAAAGTGACCGCAGCAAGGTCCTCCTTCGTTGCAGTGTCGGATATCGTTAGTCAAACTGCTATGTATAGTCGGGGAACCAGATCATACACGCAAGGGCCGAGATAGGAAAAGAAAAAGAAAGGCAACAGAGAGGGGAGATGATAAGTGTTACTAGCTGGTTATCTTATATAAATTTGCAGTTTTCAATCTTCCTGTTTATTTTACTTTCGTCTTTTTCGTTTTGTGTTTTACTTCACAAAGATAAACGAGAAAATAGGGTAGGGAGACGTAAGTAGCAGTCCACAAGGAACTGGCTTGACCTACGAACGTCTCTGATAGATATAAAAGTAGATAACGGCAATTCGCGAGGATTCACCTGAGCTATTTGCCGTCACATAGAGAAGAGATGTACGTAAAATAAGATACTGTGCATCGTATACTAGTCACTCGTCACGACTGACAAAATCGCAGGTAAAAAAGATATATCATCGATTTTTATGCCTACAACTACGACTGCAACAAACCCTATTAATAAAGAGGTTTCAGTGTCTTTTGTTCTGCGTGGACAGGTTTTGTGACTGACTTAGAAATTCACTCATTATTTGTCTTTCAGTTCGTTTAATTCTCTTTCTGGTTTCATTTATCTTTACCATAAATATCATTTATTTCTACTCTCATTATAGCGCGTTTCCCGTCTCGACCTGACCTCACTTTTCCTTTTTTTCCGGTCAGGAGCAGGGATGGGCTGAGAGGCCGCTCGATGTTCCCGCTATTTGGTTGTTTGTAATTGCTTACACCGTAGGAATAAGCGTGACATTGTTATATTGCTCAGTGGCGAAACGTTCTATTGCGCTGGAGTGGAGCTTGTAACGCGATTTTTATATAAATTTATCCTTTTGAATAGAGCGTGAGAATCTTCTCCACTTCATAGTGCACTGGGATGCCAGATATGACCTGAGGTTGCGTAAATCGCCTAATAGATCTATGATCCGCCATGAAAGTAAAAAGTAAAATCGAAGTTATTCGCTCGATCGCAACTTTTATTCGAGTCGGTGTGACCTACAGTTACATCCGTTCCTTAATGTAGGACTAGATTTCAATCATTATTATTAAAATCATTATTCGCTTATTAATCACGCCATTCTAACTCTCTAGAAATCAAGTCACTGGCATGTTTTAAGATAAGTCCGATATGCGAAGCTGAGTCTCGCCCGGGCTATGTCCATGAGGGGAGCCCGGCCTGTGTCGACTAATGCCGACTCGCCAGCGTGTGTCAGCTGATGCTGACTCAGGTGAGCTTAGTCTTTAACCACCGTGGTGCCCAGCCACACCAGTAACCCTCAGGCGACAATTGCAACTTCTCGCGCCTGGGCGGGGCGCGAACCGCCGACCCCTCTTATGAGAGGCCGACACGTTACCACTATACTAGCCTGGAGGCTGGTATGTTTTGAGTCGCATAGAGTGGGTTATTTATAGACTTTCCTGTCTCATTTCGTTTTGAAGCAGTAGAATTTTTTTAAAAGGAGAGAAATGAAGGATTGCGTGTGAGAGTGAGCTGGTTTGTTTCCTGTCACAAAAGTCTCCACACTTAAGAGCTTTACCCTGCAAAACTAACGTGAAAGTGACTCTACATATAATTTATATGGCTTAACATTTATGGAAGAAGAAGGGAGGGAAAAGAAGTAAAAGGCCCAAAACATGTACCCACGTGGTTTTGAAGACATAACGTATCGTAGAAGCGTTGGTCAAGTGGATTTCGGAGACTGTGTGCTAGTGTTGTGAGCCAAAAAGGACGCAACGACCACCGCTGCCACCAGTTTCTAAGAGGCTATTGGTGCCTCTAAACAATGACTGGCAGGGCAGTCATAATGGTTAAACGACTTGACTCTTTATTGTAAGAGTACACACAAGTAATTGAAGCTACGATGCGATGTCTTGGGAGCAAGGGCTGAGTGCCGGGGGGCTGGAGGCGGCGTGCGAACTGAAGGTCGAGTGGGGTCAGCTTTCATCGTCATCTAGGTCCCGCTGATGTGATGGTTCCGAATTGACACGTGGCAGATGCTTAATTTAGACTTTGGTTTGCAGACGTGATCTTGAGCTATTAGGTAACACAAATCATGCTTATGGGCATTTCATATATATATATATATATATATATATATATATATATATATATATATATATACATATATATATATATATATATACATATATATATATATATATATATATATATATATATATATATATATATGTATATATATATATATATATATATATATATATATATATATATATATATATATATATACATATATATATATATATATATATATATATATATATATATATATATATATATATATATATATATATACGTATATATATATATATATATATATATATATATATATATATATATATATGTATATATATATATATATATATATATATATATATATATATATATATATATATATATATATATATATATATATATATAATCATCTACAATTTTGCATCTAATATTAGTCATCCTCTTGCCCTATAAGAATTATTGTAGCATCAGGAAGAAGCTTAGTTTCCATTTCTTATGGAGCAGAAGGAGCAAATATTGAAGAGCCAAGCGCAAGAGGAAAACGAGATCAGAAGCGTCTATAAAATACTAAGACGGCAAGAGTAAATTTGAGATGAGGAGGAAGGCGAAGGCGGCTGCAAGCAAGGCACTGGCGCTAGTTGACCAAAGGAATCGTCGCTGGTGTGAAGCAAGCACTACGATTAATGCGACAAAGAGGAAGGGAAGAAAAATGCTGATAACAACAATGACGTTGTGAAAATGATGGAGAAGTACTTGAGGCAGACTTACAGCTCGCCACATGACTAGGCGTAAAGTAGAAGTGATGAATGTAAACGACACATGGATTCGCAAAAAAAACAATGCAGTTAAAGAGAATAATGTAACCAAAAAGGAATGTGAAGAGATAGATAATATCATCAGTGTACATCAGGGCTTGCAGGGCACTCTTTCCTGGATCGCGATGAAATGGATCTGTTCTTCAGACGCAGGCCAAGATTCAATAACTTCCTTTGAGTCAAATTATCTGAAACAACAGTACACACGAAGCGCATCCACTCCAAATACAGAGCAATACTTACAGTTGGGTGTTTGTCTAAGGTTAGCAGTCATAACTTCACCAAGTTGGCAGATATTATGCAGTGCCAATTATCCTCTCCGTAAAGTACTGTAAATATAAAAACACAAACACAAGCACACGCATATATTCGTCTGTTTTCTTCTTAACTCACCCAAGCAACAGATACAGTTTTCACCAGTGCATGTTGAACCAGTTATGACGTTAGTTGTATTACACTCTCTGGAATCGATACACTTTCCCAGGCATGTGGATGTGGCAGGGCAGGTTGCAGGAGGAGGAGCGCAACATTTGCAACCGAAGCCTGAACATCCGTTGTTAATTTCCGTTTCGCCTTGTGCGCAAGTCTGTTTGCAAACGCCCCTTTCAGCGGTGCAATTGCTTAGCGGATTGCAATCTGCAGATATAGAAAA